TAAATTTGTACGGTTGTATCTAATTATATATTTTGAAATAAAGGAATAGAGGAAAGACCTCTCTTAAAAAAAAAAAATAAAAAAAAAAGGACTTGAGTAATCAGCCAAAGTCCAGCCGTAAAAGAATTACTACTAAGAAGCAAGATTAAAGAATTTTTGAGCTTGTACAAAAAAAAGACAATGTAACCGCTATACAAATATGCAAAGAGATGAAAAAGAGCAATGTTGAAGTTAGCCCAACTACAATTCGCCGCCGTTTTCGTGAACAAGGTGGTACATATGAACCTCAACTTTCAAAACCCCTTCTAACTGAAAAGTATATAAAAAAAATTGGAGTAGGCAAAGAAGTATAGAAACTATACCTGGGATAATGTAGTTTTTTTAGACGAAAGTACCTTTCACCTGAAACACTGGCCAAAAAAAGTGTGGCAGTTTGCTAGAAAGCACAGTGTCTTCCGAACAGTGAAGCATCCTGTGAAAGTCCATGTGTGGAGCTGTTTTTTGGCTTCTGGCTTTGGTGAGTTGTTTCTCTTTTAGCAAAACTTGAATGCAAATTTTATGGTCACTGTGTATGAGAATGGTCTTCTGTCTTCTATCAATAAAATTTTTGGTAAAAGTTCTGTAGAATAGATACTCCAGAAAGACAACAATCTGAAGCACTGTTTAAAAATTTGCAAAAATTGGAAGGAAAAAAGTGGCATTAATGTACTTCCGTGGTCTTCGAAGTTCCCAGACCTAAATCTGATAGAAAATGTCTGGGAACTTATAAAAGTTAAGCTTGCAAAAAAAAAAATTCAATCTATAAAGGCATTGAAAAGTTTGTTCATAAAGGAATAGAACAAATTGCCAGATGACCTGGTAGTAAGATTAGTAAAGGATATGAATGAGTATGTGGAAGCTATAATTGCTAATAATGGTGATTACATATTACATTGAGTATCACATTTGGTCAAATATTTTTAAATAAAAAAAAATTTTTTTACTTATCTGCTTGCTATGCTACATCACGTGGGGTGGGATACTTATGATTCCGACTGTACTTTATTTTTAAAGTTTTATTTTAATAGCTTTAAAGATTAGTATAAAAATTCTTCAAAGTATATAGCAAAAAAATCAACAAAACAAAAGTTTTTAACTTTATCAAATATAATATTGCAACTAAACTCTCTAAAAACTGCAAAGTTCTACTACCTTCAAACTTCACTTTTTCTAAAATATTTTTATTTTAAAAATATAAAAATAGCTTATTTAAAGTTGCACTCTTTTATCTATATACATGCAAAAATAAAAATTGCAATATTTTCTCAGTTGACAAAAAATATAACTTAAAGAACTATATTTTTTTTTTCTTAAAAAATCTTTTAAAAAATTTCTTGCCCCAAAACTATTTTCTATAAAAGAAACTAAAACTTTTCTAAACTTGATTTTACAATCTTTACTAAATCATTTTTACTCTTTTTTTTTTTAAGAACTTGTAATTTAAGCAAATTAAAATTATATAAAACTTTCTAATAAATCACATTTTACTTTATATATACTTTAAAGAATATTTTACTAAGTAGCAAAAATGATAATATAGCAAACTTTAACTTTGATACTGCATTAACAAAATTTATTATTACTATTTTAAATCTATATACTCTTGCTAGAGTTATTGTTTATTATAATTTTGCTTACAAAATTTTAGCTTTCAAATTTAGAAAAAAATATAACCAAAACTACTTTCTACAAACCAAACAATTTATTATTAAAAACTTCAAATTAAATATTTCTTTACAACTTGATGTTTTTCTTTTTCTTAAAAACCAAATAACTATATTCTTTGTCTCCAATTCTCTTTTTGTTTAAATTTGTTTTTTATAAATAATATAGCCACTACTGTACTAAAAGATATACTTATAGTAGTTAGTATAGAGAATAATATAAGTAGATAGGCAGTAAAGCCTATTTATATAAAAAAATTAAGTAATGATAGTCAGACTCAATACACAAAACAGACTCTAGATTTTTGTATAGCTATAAAAGCAAAACTCATAATAAATAATTTTGTAAAAGATTTTATCTTCTCTTAGATACCAAATCATTCCACTTTTCTGAGAAAATAGATATTAATAAATTTATTGACAAATACAATTTACAACATTTTTTATATTTTCAAATTTTTTAATTATTCTTTTATTACTTGCTTAAATATTCTTTTTTTTAACTTTATAAAATCCTAGTTAATATTATCATACTTAAAACATATATATATCTTGATATAAAAAAATAAATCTTTTTTGACTACATAATTCTTTTTTCAAACCATCTTCAAAATTTGATACAATATTAATAACTTTCTACTATTAGGTTTTTTCATTATATATTTTGACACAATAAATTAATTTTGTATCAAAATATAATAAAAAAACTTATTAATAAAAGATTATTAGAATTGCACCAAAATTTGAGAATAAGTAAAAAATAATATGGTAAACAACTTAGTAAGTAAAGTTAGATTTACTTGAAAAAAACCTGTTTTTTTGTAATATATTTAATTTGTCAAAATACCTACATTTATTATAATACTCTTACTTACTTTACTATTTAACCAATTTGACTAGTATATATTCTTTGACCAAACTGGTAAAATTGGTTAAATTGTATAAATACAGTCAAAACTCTTTATAATCATGCCCTTGGTTTTAAGAAATTCTGTGCTTATAAATATTTGTTTGTATAAAAGAGCAAATTTTTATGTTCTATATAAGTTTGTTTTAAAAATTAGTGTGCTTATAAAGAGGGTGTGACTATATAGAGAGTGACTGTATAGAGGGCAGACTATATATATAATTTTTAAACCTATAGATTTAAAAATAAGAGATAGTTATAAAAAACTTTTTATTCAACCCACGTACGTACCAATCGGCATCGCGGGTTTCGCCCAGTCATATCACATTTATTAATGTGAATGCCGTACGTACCATATTTCGCGAAATAATGCGGCGGGTACGTACCGTATTTCGCGAAATAATGCGGCAGGGGTGAAATCTCAAAATTTGGCCATTATTCTAAATAACACCCATGGCGTTATTTCGTGACAATACGGGTACCTGATTTTGATGGCGATACTAGGTGGACTTTTAACACAAGCATATAAAAATTTCGAAACCGAGCAACCCAATCTGAGGTACTGTACAACAGATATGCAATAATATGTAAATAAAAAAACCAATAAGTTCTTGTCATCAGAAATGAATCCCTACATAAAAAATACACTTTGCGTTTGGCGTCACTCATATGTAAAGTAGCCCCTGGCGAAGCCACGAGTAAATAAGCTAATCTGAAAAATAGCAATAGTATTGTTTTTTCCTGATAATCAAATTTTTTTTCTTCTAAAATTTTCTTTTTCTATTGCTAGTTTTAGGTATTTTCTCTATCTCTTCTATGTTTATTTTCCTTTATTTTTATCTTCTAGGGCATGTTTATTGAGTGAACTTAGCGTCGCATCGCAATAGGCCACTTATTCTTTTTTTTTTATTTCGGGTAATCTGTTTGCAAATAAAGGTTGAATTTAATACAAAAGCTATGTTATATATCCGATAAATTGCACAAAATTTTACTTTTAATTTAAAGAAAATTCATTAACAAGGGCGTTTTTATTATTTTTTTTCTTTTTTTTCCCATGTAATAGAATACATATGTCTACTTACAATAATGTGATAAAATTTATTATGCCTTGATTGACACATATCGATATTTGACAAACTTGAAAAAAATATACACTTAAATACAGAAAAATACACCTAATTATCCCCGCGACCTGCCCCAATCAAAGAATTCACGGGAGACTTGCCCCAATAAATCAATAAATCATAAATGAGCCCAGCAAACAAACCTCCCAAAACGGGAGCAACAAGTGGAATCCAGAAATAGAAGTTATATGCAGAAAAAACTTTGACACCATATCCAGCAATGAAAGTGAATAGTCTTGGACCAAAGTCACGTGCTCCGTTTAAACTAAAACCAGTTTCATATCCGAGAGAGATTGCAATCGTGGTAAGGGATAAACCGACAATCAATGGAAAAAGCGTTCTAGTATTTGGTAAATTACGTTCATCGGTAGCAGCAAGGATGATTAGGAGTAAGAAGAACGTTCCAATGAATTCGGAAAAGAATGCACCTCCGATACTCATGAACTCCTGTGGATAAGTAGCAAAGATACCAGCAGTGGCATTGCTTCCTGTAAATATACAAATTAGTATATATATACACTTGCCGGATAAACTAAAACCAAATCTCAACTATAATTGAATCCCCTTATAAGGTGGAACCACGTACCTGTGACACTAAGTTTACCATCACCATATTCAAGAATGGCAGCATGATAATTTGAGAAGATTACCACAGCAGCTAAAAACGCACCAGTGATTTGAGCGAGAATATAGATAGGGACCTTGTACCATGGGAAACTACGATGGGTAGCTAGAGTAATTGTTACTGCAGGATTCAGATGACCACCCTGAATTTTACGATGAATTAATAAACTTTGACAGAATATTCTTTAAAATTAATAGAATATTTCTTTAATGTTAATAAACTTACTGATACACTTCCGGAAACAACGAGAGCTAAAGCTAATCCAAGACCAAATCCAAATGAAATTGTAATCCAATTTCCATAACCTTCACCAAGCTTAGCCTGGGCAATGCTACCAAGGCCAAATGTGATAAAGACAAAAGTGCCTAATAATTCGGCAAAAGCTTCACGTAATTTGTATTTGACAAATTCAAAGCCTTTAGGGTTGACATAAATTATTTCAACGGCATCTGCATTTGACGTTTCTCCCTCTTGAGGGTTATCGATGGCACCATAATGAGATGGGCCGGTCTGTTTGCCATGGAGTATACCACGTTCATCAGCCATTATATGATTTATCTGAAAAATATAGATACAAGATTATTTTAAAGACCTTTATTCTAAATGCGTCAAAAAATTAATATTCTGCATAAAACCAAAAGACACACCTTTTGTAAATTTTATGGGCGGGAAAAAAAACCTTTGAGAAAGGACATCAAAATATGACGCTATATAATAATCATTCATTACTGCGCCACTTGTGTTCATGATTTTAATGAAGTACAGCATAGAACAAAGGTAACTTTCGAAAATAGTAAAATTATATGCAATATCAAAGTAAGATTTTTACGCCAACTTTGAGCTACAAACAACTCCAAAGATCATTAAAAAATCATTAAATCTTAACGTTTAATCCCTGATTGTACTATACTAGTTCAAGCGTTGTTATGAAGGCCAATTTATGAGATGCTTAAAGGAGTAGTGTAACATGAATAGCATTATCTAAGCATAAATGTGTTATATGATGATATATTGCCTAAAAATTCTTAACATTCTGTAAAATTTAAGCTTTTATAGTTGAGATAGCGGGGAAGTCGCACGTATTAATGATGGAAGTTCACTGCGATCGAAACTTAGTTCACATTTTACATATTCGCATTTTATAAGGCTTCTGTGCTTTGGAAATCCAATTTTATCATGCAGTAAAATATGGTCGCCACAGCCAAAAAAAGTAGCAGATGTATATAATCATTTATCTTTTTTTAGTTAATATTTCTTCGTTCATTTTCTGTTGTTCACACGTATTGTAGACCAATAATCAAATTTTTTTTTCCAAATTGATGTTGAAGAATTGTTTAGTAAGTTTTAGGATTTCGATAGATACTGCGTATCTAAAACTTTATAATATATCTGATTTTACTATTATTACACGTAATATTTGTATTGTATTTATTTGCAAATAAAACTATATGTTTTCAAATGTTCGTATAATAAAATTTGATTGGTCAATTATCCATGCGACGTATTACAGATGCAGAAATTTAATTATAGTATAATTAGACTAAAAAAAAATTTAACAAGTTATAATTCTAAACAACTAAGTTCTTATTATACGTAATAATATTTGTCAAAACTGCATTAAAAATTATAATCAAAAATTATAGTAAAATCTATAAAAATATTTATTAATTTATGTAATATAAATTACAATGAATTTTTTAGCTTGTTCGTCTATAACAAACACTTTAAGCTTCTCTGAAGTAACTACTGTTAAATTTGAAATACGTATCCAACTGATCTAAAGCGCAAACTACAATATATAGTAATATTTACATACATTATCGTTATCTGTTATTAGGAAGATATGCAAACTATTACATAATCACTTATTATCGAAATTACTATCTGCTTATTTATTATCTAAACCAACTTTATATCTTATAAAAAAATAAATTAACTTATTTTTAGAAAAATCTTTAGATTTTATTAGTAAATAATACTGCCTTTTTTATAATATTTCTTAACTTATACTTTTTTTATCTATAGATTGTTTTTTATAATTTAATAAATAATTGATTTAGCTATAAATTTTTTTTTTTTTAGCAGTTAATAGAAAATTGTAAAGTTTAGAAAAATGTTTGTTATATAAGTTGAATAATAAAAAAAAATTTTTATAATTTAGTATTTTTTAATTGTTTTTTTTTTTTTTAAAAAAAATATTAAGGTGACCACTTAGGCCTCTGGCACATAGCTTTATTCAGATAGTTATGATATTACATCAATTTCATGAGGATACAACTAGCCACACGTGTACTTTTGGTATCTAATTTAAGTAGTCCACCTGGGTTTTACACTAGCTGCCATACCTGCAACCTAACTAGGAGATTATTTATTTAAGCTCTCTAATTATTTTACTAACGAGAGTACAACTAGCCATATATGCAACTTTTGGTTACCTATTTAAGTAGTCTGCTCTAGGTTTCACACTAGCTGTCATACCTACACCCAACTATAGGGGATACCCATTTAAATCCTCTAGCTCTATTTCTGTAACATGCTTACCCTAATATTCTTAATAAAATTAGCAATATCATGAAATAACTCTAAAACTTTAGCCACATGGGCATTTATCCTTGTAATAAATCTAACAGAGCAGTACATATCTCATACATATACTCATCTGCATGTTCGGTAACTTTCTCCAACTAGTACATGTTGTGCTGCTACCACCAGGTCCATATCTCAAGCTATTTTTTTGGATACTGCTATAACCTGATCTGTATCTCAAGCTACAATCTTCCTAATTAGGTTCTACTTATATATCTCTGCCCTTGCAAGGTTTACAACAACCCCAGTATCCACATTTCAACTTCTTTCTTTCTTGGATTGCTTACCGGTTTCTCCTTTACTTCTAGCCAGCAACCTGAAAGGGTTGGTCTGCTCAGGCTCTAGATGCCTTACAGTCTCTCTCCCTTTGGTACATGCTTCTGGAATACAAGTCCTTTTCTTCTGGTGATAAGCCAGTGGTTCGGCTAGTGTGTTTACCACTTAAGAACCTGGTCGCTTGGTTTTTTAATCTTGGTCTCTAGTTCCAAATTCAGTCTTCTTATAGTACTGTCAAAGATTACTGCTACTTCTCAACTCGGGACTTGCCAAACGGGTTTTTGGTAATTCCAGGTTTCTGAATTTATTGTACCAAAGCTCCCATTTGAGATGATGTAACCAAGATTACAAATATCTGGATCCAACTGATAATCTTAATATTAACCAATACAGATTTAGTTTTTTCAAAATCATCGTTCATGAGATTCGAGCTCTAGACCTGCTGTTTGGGAGTGCTACAACTCCACCACTTTACTAAGTCACCACACCTTCTATTTTTTAATTGTTTAAATACTTCAATTAAAATTATATAATATATTTTTTTATATTGCAAGTTTATTATATAACTTTTTTTAAAAATTTTAAAAAAAAACAAAAAAGATAAATATATAATTAATAATAAATAATTAATACAAATAAAATAATATGACTAACTCTTTTTGACAATTATCTGTACAAAATTTTGAGAAAACCAACATATATATAATAAATATATTTAATATTATAGAAATATATAAAGCAAAGAGTTTTAAAAAACTATAAAACAATATTTGTTATTTAGAAATATATTAGTTAAAATCAAAAATATTAGTAAAATATTAGTATCTAATATATAACTTATATATAACTTATATATAATCTAAAGGTAACTTATATTGATTTATTAAAAATTATAAAATATAAACTAGCTTTAGGTTATATATAAGTTATATATAAGTGAAGTCAATAGAAATGGGACAAATTTATCTAATAAATTTGTCCTATTTCTATTGACTCCACCCTATATATCAGATATTAATATATATATATTTTGCTAATATTTTTGATTTTAACTAATAATAGTTTATATATACTATTTGCTAAAAGATCTAGAGTTTATTACTTATTACAAAAGTAGTACTGGTTATTTAAAAATAGTTTTTATATATTAGAAATTCAATTCAGATAAATTTGCTATCTATTTATCTATATTATTATATCTAAATATCTATTTAATTATATTGGATATCTAAATAGATTTAACCAAATTATCTAATATATTTGTAATAGATATTTAAATGAATATTCAATTAGATATCTGAACAAATATTAAAATAACACTTAAACAAATATTTAAATAGATATCTAAATAGATATTTAAACAAATATCTAAACAAATATTCAAATAAATACCCAAACAGATATCCAAATAAATATCTAAATATATATCTAAACAAATATTTAAACAGGTATCCAAATAGATACCTAAATAGATATCCAAATGAATATCTAAATGGATATCCAAACAAATATCTAAACAAATATTTAAATAGTTATCCAAGCAGATATCTAAACAAATATCTAAATAGATATTTAGCTATACATAATCTAAATAATTTATTGAATAACCGGATATTTATTTATTAATTTATTTTAACTATTTATTTATTAAAATCAGATATCTAATAAATAAATAAATAAAATAGTTAATTAGTATGCACAGCAACTCTTTCCAACAATGCTTTGTACCAAAATACAACAAACTTTTTTTTTAAAAAAACAGTAGACTATAGTAGAAAAGAAAAATATAAGACTAATAAAAACTATAAACCGGTATCTATTATTTAGAGATAGTTCTTATACGCTATCTGCTAACAGGCTCAGAGCTTATCACTCACTATGAGGATGGTATTTGTTATTTAGAAGTAGTTCTTATATGCTACTTGTTAACAAGTTCAGAGTTTATTACCTACCAACAAGAAAATTAGCAGTAAACTTGGCTTTTTATGTTCTACTACTTTTGAAAAAAAATATATGCTCCTTTAAAAAAAGTACAAAAGCTATCTTCTATACTATCACTCACTTGCTTATTTTTCAAAATTTTTGAAAAAAGTAGGCAAAATAGTTACCTTGTCAAAAGATTGGTATTGTTTACTTCTTTTAAATTTGGACAACCTAGTAGATTGCAATTATGTATTTTGTTTACTAACAGATACTATGCTACTCCATGGGCAGGGATGGTAAATGATCTGGTTATTTGCTCAAAATTTAAATGACCCAGTCATTTGGTTAAATGACCTAGATCATTTGGTCATTAGGTCATTTGGGTCATTTACGCATAAAGTAATTTTATTGGTCAGATAGCAATATAAAAAGTTAT